AAAATACTTAATATGCGAGTTCACATATGGTCGTTGAAGAATGTTTGTGCTTGTTAGTGGCATTTTTTTCTTTAAATTTTTTTTCTTTAAAATTTAATAGAGCCAATTTTAGGTAGCTGGAAAAAAATTAAGACCACAAATGTCATTAAAGAATTATTTTATATGAATATTTAAATAAAATCAAGTAAATTAACTTTTTAACTTAATACAAATGTTACTTCCGGTTTGATATGGCTTTTCGGCCCGCCGGTCCGATACGTGATATGGCTTTTCGGACCGGTCCGTGATATGCGGTATTGTGACGTCACCCGTACAGAATCGGTGTATTTACTACTAAGTATATGATAATGTCACATAGCAAACTCAAACATAGCATAAACATGTTACATACGTAACGTTAAGCCTAAGGTCTCCAGAAGCGTGCAGACGACAACATTCGTATTATATCTTTTTTATTGCAACTTTAGCTCTTAGTATATGATAAATTACCTTTGATATTGTAAATGCAGAATCTCTATCCCAAATTTATAGACATACCGTAAGAAAATAATAAAATAACATCTATAATATTTAGCTGTTTACATTCGGTAAGAAACTAGGTCGATTCATTCTATGGCGGCCTATGCGGGTTAAAAAAAAATTGAAATATATCTGAAACATCATGGAACAGGTAGAAATTATTTGAGTCTAAACTACAAGCCTGGGTTCATAAAAACAAATCAGATAGACAAAATAATGATTTTACATTATTTGAACAATGATATTACCAGTAAATTATAATCTTATTTTTTCTAAAATAATTTTTACAGGTAAGTCTTGTTTTCACAAGAATCACTAATGAAGGCCTTTAGAAGAGAGCAGGGTTTAAGAACCACTAAAATCAGATGGAGAAAACCATGAAAATCAGATTGAAAAAGTGGGACTGGATTTGACTAATCCCTGTGAAGCCACCATCCAACACCACAAACCAGGACCCAATCCGGAATGCCGCAGGACAAGAGAAAGAGAGGACATCCAACAGATTATTATGAAGTTTTATTTGTTAATTGATTACTTTTTGTTCTTCAAAGTCTTTTCTTAACACAATTGCAATTATTACCTGAAATTATCACACTAATTCTGAATATTTGGTGAATAAAACACATACTTTGATGCCTTAATGCCTTGATTTATTTTCATTAAATGCTGAAAAAGAAACAGGGGGTGGGGATATAAAAAATATCAAAACTTTCTTATATGCACACTAACCCCTACTTTTCATGCAATGAAAAGGAGCATAATACCTAAAGAAACTGTACAACAATTTTCTTAATAGGTTTAATTGTAGACATATGTTTTTCTTCGGTTTTTCGAGCAATTTTATAGGGGAAAATGTGCCTAATTTTGACATGGGTGAACAAAATTTTGGGGTACAAGTTATCTAAATGGTTTTTATTTGCTCATATTTTGCTTAAAAAATCAACTTTGCAATATTTTCAAGTAAATTTAGGTCAAATTAAGTTTTAATTCACTGTATTTATAAGTTTTATAAAGTATTTCATGGTCTAGTAGCATTTTTAATGAAATTTTCAATGCTCTATTTTGGCCTATGTTCAAAGGGTTGAATCTCTCTTAGATGAACACTAACATACACTTTTCTTGTCTTTAAATTATTCCTTGGATATTACACTTTCAGAAAAAAATAAGCATTTGGGAAGTTTAATGCACGTTTTTTTCCGCGTATCATAAGAATACATCCTTAACATAGCTTTTCTGTTTCTCCTTTATTTTCCTTTGTAAAACTTTGATACACCATTGAGACCTTTCCCTACCCTTGGTGGTTATGATTTGAACAAATTTAATTGCACACTACCTCAAGGATGCTTCCATATAAATATCACTCATCATGGCTTTGCTATTCTTAGGAAAAAGATTTTTTAAAATATATTTTAATGTAAAACTTAGATCCCACATTGTGGCCCCACTATATCCCTGGGGGTTATGATTTGAACAAACTAGAATCTACAGTATCTGAGGATGCTTCCATAAAAATATCACTTACATGTATCGGGGCTTTGCAGTACTTGAGAAGAACATTTTTAAAGGTTTCACATTCCTATGTATAACTTTGATCAACCATTATGGCCCCACCTTAATACAGGGGGCAATGATTTGAAGAAACTTGAATGTGCACTATACCTGAGGATGATTTAACACGAGTTTCATTTCTCCTCACCTAATGGTTACTGAAAAGAAGAATTTTAAAGATTTTTCCTATATATTCTTAATCTGTAAAATTTTGATCAGCCGTTGTGGCCCCACCCTACCCTAGGGGGCAATGATTTGAAGAAATTTGAATGAACACTACCTGAGAATGATTTAACACGAGTTTCATTTCTCCTCACCCAATGGTTACTGAGAAGAAGAATTTTAAAGATTTTTTCCAATATACATGTACTCTTAATCTGTAAAACTTTGATCAGCCATTGTGACCCCACCCTACCCCAGGGGGCAATGATTTGAAGAAACTTGAATGTACACTACCTTAGGATGATTTAACACGAGTTTCATCTTTCCTCACCAAATGGTTACTGTAAAGAAAAATTTTAAAGATTTTTCCTACATATTCTTAATCTGTAAAATTTTGATCTGCCATTGTAGCACCACCCTACCCCCGGGGGTCATCATTTGAACAAACTTTATTCTACACTATCTGAGGATGATTCAACATGAGTTTCACTTTTCCTGTTCCAATGGTTCTTGAGAAGAAGACTTGTAAAGATTTTTCCTTTATATTCCTATGTTAAATTTTGATAAGCCATTGTTGCCCCACCCTACGCCAGGGGGCAATGATTTTAATAAATTTGAATGTACACTACCTTAGGATGATTTAACACGAGTTTCATTTTTCCTCACCCAATGGTTATCGAGAAGAAGAATTTTAAAGATTTTTCCTATATATTCTTAATCTGTAAATTTTTGATCTGCCATTGTAGCACCACCCTACCCCCGGGGGTCATGATTTGAACAAACTTGAATCTACACTAGTACCTGAGGATGATTCAACATTAGTTTCATATTTCCTGTCCCAATGGTTCTTGAGAAGATTTTTTTTAAAAATGCCATTAATATTTCACTAATTCATAATTATCTCCCCTTGGAAGAGGGCGTTGCCCTACATTTGAACAAACTTGAATCCCCTTCGCCAAAGGATACTTTGTGGAAAGTTTGGTTGAAATTGACCCAGTGGTTCTTGAGAAGAAGATGAAAATGTGAAAAGTTTACGACGAAAACAACAACGACAATGACAACAACGACGACAGATAACGGACAAATTTTGATCAGAAAAGCTCACTTGAGTCTTCGGCTCAGCAGAGCTAAAAAGATGAGGTCAAGATATGATTTTAAATGTAGAAAAGTTAACTTTAATGCTGTATACTTCTCAGATGGTTACTTCAACTCGGAAGAAAAAAAGGAGAGTTTAAATATTACAATAATTCTGGCCGACTGAAATTTCGGGGGACACCAAAAATTATCGATGTTGTGTGCCACATGATATCTTAAAATGCTACATTTACGTGGAAAGACATCGTTGAGATACTAAACACTTAATCATCACAGCATTTCGTAGAATTTTGACAAAAAGAAATATTTCTATCAGATACTGTAGATCACAAAAAGCGACACCTTATTTTCGCGAGATAGTCATTGACTCTTGATTAGCGAGACAAAATTTTCAAGAATTGTGGTTATTGCTCTATATAATCTTAAGGAATGCTATTATACGCGAGAATAAAATTTTGGCGATCACACCGTCTCGCGTAATAAGGCGAAAATAAACTTTTCGCGCATAAAAAGTTATTTACAGTAGGTGCACTATTTTCTTACAAGTGCCTAAGAGAAAATTTGCAGTAAATGTGGCAACGGTTTTTTCAAAAATGGATTGTTTTTTTTTTTAAATAGAAGTTTGATAAACTTGCTTGATAAATGACAAAACATATGTGCACTTTTTTATAGTCGAAAAATAAGGCAAGTGCTCCAAACACGTTTTATTAGTTTTTGTGTATTTAGAGAGGTACACTGGAACATGTACATATATCCAAATGAAGGACTAGCAATGGAAACTTTCATGTTCGAATTGCACCAAATTTAAGTTAAGTGGAAGATTTTTTTGCCAGGGTAGACCAAATCTCGGTGACTTGAGTATATTTTCTGTGCCTTACAACGCAGTTGAATGTAAGCTTAAAGAAATAAAGAAGATTTTAAAGAAAATAAAGTGAACAAAACTTTTCCATCGGTCATATTAGATCTTAGACATTGGGAGATCTTTTTATTCCCAAAACACATTAAAGCAATCAAAGGAAGATTGTACAATGTTAGATATGTCATGGGAAATTATATTCGTCAGTGCCTTTGGGGCATCCATAAAGATGAGTATGCTGAGGTTTTCTGTGCATGGATACAAAGACATAATACATGTATTAAAGGTCAGAGGGATTGCTTTGAAGGATTAAAACTACTGCAGTATTAATAATATGTATTATGTACTTTTCATATTTTTTATGACATGTATTATTTATTGAACGACTCTCGTATAGAAGCTCAGTTATATAAAATCATTTACTTTTCGTCACTCGCTTCGGGTTATAGTTCTTCTATTATATGCTTTTCCCTGATTTCAGAATGGTTTCCAAAAATAAACCATAAATTTCACTCTCATGGAACATTTGGCAAAGAATCTATGGATGCCGTGAGAGCTTAAGAAAGCTAAAGTACACTTACGTGACCTTATTTGAGAATGTAAAGTACGTACCTGTCATCCTCTGCCAGATTTGTATGCTTATAACATGGGTTTATTTAGAACATAGTTCTTATTGAAAGTAATTTTTCTAAAAAAATCCTACTACACCAAAAGTATGATTTCCGGCAATCTTTAGATTTTAAGTGAACGGCTTTTGAAATGTAAGACTGCAATAGACAATGCACGATTAAAATTTTGTCATGAAAAATTATAATTATACCCGTTATAGTTTTGGTGTTGTTTGTACAAACAAGTCTCAGTGGAGCGCTCCTCTTGAGATCTAAAAAAGAGAAGAAAAAAAATCATTGCGCTGCTTATGCCTAGGTCACATTTCCCGGCCGGTAGCCGTAGATCGGTGGTAATCGGTGGTAATCCGTGATGTTAACGATGCCCAAACATCGGTACACATCGGCCTAGTAGTCCTTAAAGTATCAGTCACATTATCAGCGCTGAGTATGCGATGTGCAATCAATGTGTTTTATGATAAAAATGGCGTGGTTACCGGCCGGACTTACAAAGGCCCAGCGATGCATTGCTAATCATAAAACGATGTTCCAGGATAATCGGCCGATGTATATTACATCGCTCACACATTGGTGAACATCGTTCGTACATCGGTCGACTACAGGCCAATGTTTGGTCGAACATCGACCGATGATCGGCCGTTATCTGTTGAACACTATTCAACCCCCCGATGACCTCAGATTCAACGGATATTGGACGATGTTCGGCCATACATCGGCCGATCCTTGAAAGATGTGTTAATGATTGGTTGCCGATGAGGAGCGATGTGAGGCATCGTTGGAGACATCGCTGAATTTTAACTACTAATTATTTCCTACCGATGACCCCGCCGATTTGCAAAAAGGCTTCAGTCACCGTCCGATCATAAGTGATGCCCGGCCGGCAACCACGCCATTTTCATCCAAAAACGCATCGGTATCTCATCGTATACCCTATCGCTGGATAATGTGACTGATACTTAATGCCTAGGTCACATTTCCCGGCCGGTAGCAGTAGACCGGTGGTAATCGGTAGTAATCTGTGGTGTTAACGATGCCCCAACATCGGTCCACATCGGCCTAGTAGTCCTAAAAGTGTTAGTCACATTATCCAGCGATGTGTATACGATGGGCAACCAATGCGTTTTATGATAAAAATGCCGGCCGGACTTACAAAGGCCCAGCGATGCATTGCTAATCATAACACGATGTTCCAGGATAATTCGGCCGATTTATATTACATCGCTCATACATTGGTGAACATCGTTCGCACATCGGTCGACTACGGGCCAATGTTTGGTAGAACATCGACCGATGATCGGCTGTTATCTGTTGAACACCACTCAACTCCCCGATGACCTCAGATTCAACGGATATTGAACGATATTCGGCCATACATCGGCCGATCCTTGAAAGATGTATTAATGATGGTTTGCCGATGAGGAGCGATGTGAGGCATCGTTGGAGACATCGCTGAATTTTAACTACGAATTATTTCCTACCTAAGACCCCACCGATTTGCAAAAAAGCCTCAGTCACCGTCCGATCACTAGTGGTGCTCGGCCGGCAACCACGCCATTTTCATCAAAAAACGCAAAAAACGGTTTCTCATCGTATACCCCATCGCTGGATAATGTGACTGATACTTTACACAAAACTAAATCTGCACGCCTATGTGGTTATTTTCAATGAGATCAACTGACAAAGAACTGCGATAGATAGTAAATGTTCTCCCGCCTACATCCGAGTCAATTTTCAAAAGTTAAGATTTTCGAATGATTTTAAAGAATAAATTGATATTAATATGGATTTTCATGAAACAGAGAGATAACTCAACAGAGAGATAACTCTAAAATTTTGGTAACACTCGTGTTTTTCACTATAGAAATTAACAGAATACTGAAAATATTTTGAAAACATCTTTTTACCCCGTGAAACAAAATTCCCTTTCACGGTAATAATATGGACTGTCATTTTACAAAGTCATACCAAAGCTTTTTGTGATTCACATTGAGAGGGGGGGGGTATGTTTATAGACTACAAAACGACAAAAAATGATTTTTATCTCAGTAATTAACAAAAGCTTAACAACTGAAACAATGTTTTTTTATGTATATGCTTCATTTTATATGCATAAAACGAAAGAAAAGATTTAAGACACATTTATTCACATCCGACACTATTTCATAATATGGTGATGCTTTATAGCCCGAATTAAGGGGAAAATATTGTCTACCCCCACCCCATCCCCATCCCACTACCACCACCTTATATCAAGAGCTGGAATAAGGCGGTATATTTTAATATTTAACACTGGTATTAAAATAATAAATCAATTACAATGGAGCTGTTCTTTGTATTAAACAAAGATTTTATGACCAAACTGTCGGAAATCTTAAATTCATTAAATGGTTGTAAAATGTAGGCGGGAATCGTGAGTTAGCCTGCGTAGTTTTTTTTTGAGAATTACGTTTACTTACTTAAAGACTTATTTTTTACGATAAAAAGTCATGTGCAAAAGAATAGATATTGTTTATTTCAGAAAATGGATGCGAATGAAACATTTTGCATTTCATTGTCGTGTGAAAAAATTCTATAAATTTATTATTTTAGTAATTTTTATTATTTTAGTAATAAAGCACAGTTTATACTTACAAGTCCAAAATGTTGTATTTTCTCCAGATCTTTTGTACTTCACATACATTATGATGATGTAAATGATGAGGCTTATTATTGTGAGTGAAAGAACAACAGGGAGGATTACATTTTCAGATCCATTTTGGTTATCAAGCTTTCCATCGTTTCCAGATACAGTATCAGGTGTCGAGCTTCAGTAGGGAATAATGTATTCAAAATTATTTGTTTTGTTTCTCAAAAAAGAAAATGAAAAACACTGCTGATGTTTATTTTGGATTGATTAAACATTATTTTCTACTTATCATACAAGCTAATATTTCAAGATCATCGCGATTAAAAAAATGTTTTAAAAATGCTTTCAAATCACGAGGTTATAGTCAAATACAATTGGGATATTAAGTAGGATGGTTGGGAAGACATTCATTTCTCTCTTGGTTATTGTAAAGGGAACATTTTTTTTTCATTCAATTTTAGAACATGCGTATATTGATATTGAAATTTAGATTCAACCCGTCATATTACAAACGTTTACGTGAAATTCCCGAAACTAAGATTAAGGTATTCTAAAATGAAAACTCAACATACAAAATTCTGTAATTTAAGAACCAAAAAGACACCCCTCAACACACACATAAACAAATAGAGCAAGACACTTTTTTAGATGGAAAATCGCTACGTTAAGCAATGGCTTTTACTTGAATGGCTGGGAGGGGGGTGTTTTAACAGTCATGTCAGTTACTTAGTAAAGTGAAAAGATAAACATTTAACATTTTTATCAAATCTCTGATGTATTGAAAAGTGAGTTTAGCCTTACTGCATTCATTTTTGAAAATCATTATATAAAAAAATCAAAAATTTGTAGATTACTGTTTGTTGCGTTTCTTTTGCGTTTCAGTATATACACACAATGTGATTGGGCACAAGTTCTTAAAACTTATTTCGCCCCCTCCCTAAGGGATAATTCTTTTACTTTTCAAGATTCTGAATAATCGTATTGACCTTAAAATAGCAATAATTGTATAATGGAATGAAGTCAACAAAACATCTATTTCTATCTATGCAAACATTTTTTCCAGTAGTGCCACCCCCCTCCAAATGCAACTTTAATCAACAAAGGAACATAATTCCACGGGGTGATTTTTCTTCACGTGGGATATGCAAACTTTTAGAGTGATGACACTTATTCTACGGACAAAAGAGTGTCTTTTTAGCGTCAAATAATGGCCGTGGGTCATTTTTCGCCGTAGAATAATAACCGGGGTTCATTTTTCGATAGCGAAAAATGACCCACGGTCATTATTCTTTAAGGACATTATTCGTCTTTACACCAGCGTGAAGCGTGTAGTTCATGTCCCCATGTATTCTCAAAACTTTAATTCATTTCTTAACTTAAGTACATTGTTAAAGATGGTTTATTCTTACCCATAAGATGTATTTGTTAAATGTACCAGAATTCCATGTTTAACAAACCATAACATCATATCACACAAAAATGATAATCTTTTGAAATGATCATAAGTTTAAAACGTTAAACTGAGAGTAAATTTTGGTCAATCTTGATTTATCAATTATTCTTAATTTATGTAACTGAAAACGGAATTATGGTTATATTTTCCTTAAAAATTAAAAGGAAAACTTACGGTTTTTTTTCAAGGCACTGTTTATCTAAAAGAAAAAAAAATGGATCAAAATGCTAGACAAGTGAATGTATAGCAATTTCTTCTAAAGATGAGCTTTATTTATCTTACACCTTAATTGATGGTGACATGATATGGTAACCATGTTCGTTTGTCATACATGTGTGTTATTGAGTACTCACATTTAATCACTGTGTTGGAAAAAAACTGTTTATCTGGACAATCTATTCCAAGCGATTTTCGGCAGTCGTAGGCACCATTGATTCGTTCTCCTCTTAGACTGTATTCTGGGCATGTCCCTAAAATATTTTGAATCAAATAAATAAACGCTTTAATCAAATATTTACATTTACTGTGTTTTTCTACAAATCCAACAGTGAAAATGATTTGAATGGCATTTTCTGTGTACTCACGCGAAGAAATATTCACGGAAAACGCAACATCTTCATCTATGTAAGACTTGTTTAATACTAATTATATAGCCGTATTCCGTTATGATGGCAGAGGATAGTTTTCTTTGCAATCAAAACGTTTGACTGACGGTTTACTTAATATTGAGCTGCTTTAAAAATGTGCATTGAAAAATCTTAAATTCCCTCTACATGTAATAATAGTATGATGTAGTTCCTTTTGAAATTTGAAGCTTTTATGAATAAAACATCTACAACTTACACAATGAGCCCTAAAGATGGCGCAGGGACAATCTCAAAATTTCATGTTCATGTAAATCAAGCCTATTTTCACTATTTTTCCGAAGCCGCAACTGCCACTGTTACAACGCACTTTGAAAAATTACGCACTTTGAAAAAATTTTTCAAAGTGCGTTAATTTTTGGGACCAGGTTAACGCACTTTGAAAAAAAATTTCAAAGTGCGTTGAATTTGGGACCAAATCAACGCACTTTGAAAAAATTTTTCAAAGTGCGTTAAGACTGTACATCATAATTTTACACCATGTCAACATTTAACGCACTTTGAAAAAATTTTCATGAAACAAAAGGAATTAGACTTATATTTTAGAAATAGACAACAGTATTACCCCCTCGCAACGTATGATGGGATATAGTGATGCGATTATGTGTGTTATTACTTTATGTGTATGTTATTTTTTTCTGTGTGGAATTGATGTAATTTGTATCGCGATCGATGTCAAATGCTGCCTTGATTTACTGAACATGCTTTTTGGGAAGGAATGCTCCGCTTTGCGGTGCCCTTACTTTGATGTGTTTCTTTCTAAAAACTGATGGATTGAGGAAAACCTAGAAACGGACAACGAAGAAAAGACTGGCTGAATTAAGGTCTATCAGCTCAACTCTTTATCATTCCCACCTAGATGTATCTATTTCTATAACTCGTAAACTTAAGTGTCAATGATATTTGAAAAAAAGAGCATTCTGAATACAATATAAGCACTGTACAAGGAAGTCTGTAGTAAATCGAAATTTTTTTCTTTTAAATCTCAAAGTCTATTTATGTTCATTTTCAGGAAAATCAGAATATTAATTACATTAATTACATTTAATTATATTAAGTACCTGTCTGCTTTCGATGTTAATTTGATATCATATCTGATAATCTCTCTGTTAACCTCCAGGTATTTAACTTACATGATATTTTCATAGGAATTGTTCATTAAACATGTATCTAATATCTTTTCTCATGTTTTACGTAAATAAATAAAACATATATATTAAATTAATAAAATACAATTATTTAGTTTTAAATAGCTTTAAAATTGGTGAAAAATAAGAATTTTTTTTCGTTTTTTGTCTATAAACATATGCCCCCTCCCCCCCCCCCCCCCCCCCCGTGAAACACAAAAAGCTTTGGCATAAATTTGTAAAATAACAGTCCATATTATCTGTAAAAAGGAATCTTTGTTTCACGGGGGGGGGGAGTTGTTTAAAAAATATTTTCAGTTTTCCGTTGATTTCTATAGTGGAAAACACAAGTTTTGCCAAAATTATAGAGTTATCTCTCTTTGGTATCCCAAATAAGTAAGGTTTTATGAAAATTCATATAAATATGTATAAAAATTTTGAAAATCATTCCAAGATGTTCACTTTTGAGAATTGACTTATAGATAGGCGGAAGAATAATACTATCGTTCGTAGTTCTTTACGACCTTGAATGTTGACCTTTTGACCCCAAATTCAAAAGGGGTCTTCCTAAGGCCACAGGGATTCTGTTATGTTAAATTTCATTGCAAAAGCTCAAAGGGTTGTCGAGATATCGTGTGGAAACGAAAGCGTTACAGAAAGACGGATGGACGGACAGCTAGACGGACGGACGGACAGGTAGACCCAAATTAATACCCCCCTTTTCAAGCGGGGGACAAAAAGTATCAAATCAGGTTCAAATGATAAGTTATCATACTTAAGATTTGTAGGAATATTGACTAAGCCATGCAGAATTTTTTTCCAAAGTGCGTTAATATGGTCCGTATTAACGCACTTTGAAAAAAAATTTTTTTTTCAAAATGCGTTAACCTGGTCCCAAAAATTAACGCACTTTGAAAAAATTTTTCAAAGTGCGTAATTTTTTCAAAGTGTGTTGCCACATGCCACCTATATTTCTTGTCTTATTGTTACGATAAATATCCCGAAACGCTTGTTACATTTGAATGATGTCTTGGTTTTGTAATCGACTTGCGCACATCCCCGATGGTAAAGCATTTGAGAACACATGATCAAGACATTTTAAAGCCACGACAGATAAAACAGTCACACTGATATTTATGAATAATCATTATTTTGAATCACAAATTTTAGTTGCACGAGTATGTATTTTTTTTCCGGGACTCCTTGTCCCTTCCCCGGGACCAAAAAAATAAACAAAAAGTCATAAGAACGAAGGAAAAAGAGAAATTAAAAAAACATCTAGCACTACTACTAAACTACCAAACACTATGTTTTTATACAATGTGAATTCGCAATTTTATAATCAACAGTAAAGAAAGAAATCCGGATCGCTTTGAAATACGTTCAGTGTAAGACGAATATTGACCACCATCGAATAATGACCGGGGGGGGGGGGGAGTCATTTTTCATCGACAGAAAATGACCCCCATCCATAGGAAAAAATCCTGTTTTGTAGAAAAAAAGAGCCCCAGGGTCATTATTTTATATATGAGTCCTATAAAAAATGACCCCCGTTGAAAAATGATTCCTTGAAGAGTGATAACAAAATTTTTACGTTTATATTGATGCAAAGCATAAAATTGGCAGCAAAAATATTTCATTTTAGCATTTTTAAGAATGTTCACAACAAATCCATAGGAAAAATTATTTAAAAGAATACATGTACTATGCATGATCAAGCGAAGTAATTAAAGTCGTGCATTTAAGATTGGGCATCCTCGCAAGGCAGTGGTCCAATGGCAACGTGTTGACTCAGAATCCCTGGGATACCAGTAGTATCATCAGAATTATTGAATCAAATACAATGCCACAGGTATCGAAAATGCCTAATTTAGAATGTTTGCAAAAAAAGACATGCTGATTTCGTGGATCTTTATCTTGTTATGTACATGTAATAATGCCGATGTTCTATCACAGTAGGATTTTTAAAAAAATCGTTGTATCATTTGCAACTGTAATAGTTAATGTTTTCAAAAACTATGATTATAATGGCAACCTTTTGCTCTGTAGAATGTCAAGAGAGCTTGTTCGCAAAGCTACAAAAAAGCTTTTCAAGGATTTAGCCTTAATGATTTCACTTAAAAATTATTCCCTTTTAATTGAATCACATGTCCGTAACCTTTTTCTCCAATTTCCGATTGTTTTTAGAACACATTTTTGAGTATGGCCCTTCGTATACTGGAATATGAGAGATCCTACATGTTTGATTTCCTTAACTTGTTTCTTTTCCTTGACTTGTTTCTTCTCTCTGAAAGATCGCCGAAATATGGCTGAAATATTGCCGAATCGGCGTTAAACAATAATAATCAATCAATCTTTCTGAGAAGTGTTTTTTTTTAAGTTTGAAAAGTGAAAAAAGTGAAAGATCTGGCGAATATTGTTGATGTGACAAAACATTTACTTTCTGTTTATCCCCAAAACTACTTTACTCTTCATGGCGTGTGGGTTTGGACGCTGTCATGATGAATTTTTAATGCAATGGATTCCTAAATCTGGTTCCATCCTCTCATATGATAAACCTTTCGACTTTTTGCAAAAATTGGCTTTCTAGACTTCTCCAGAAATTGAACTGCTCCCCGAATAAGATTTTGAGCAACAAGACTGCTAATATTTACGAAAATGAGATATAACACTATTTTTGTGCTTTTAAAAATATTCGCTTTTTACAAACCTTGGCTGTTTTTGTCAAGTGCATCTTATTGTTTTGGGGTTTAAAGCAATGAATTCAAGTGTCATTATCTGTTACAATTTCAGACAAACGTGGATAATTTCAATTTCTGATTTTTTCAAATAATTGTTTTGGTATTCTAATACGTTTTCACTCATTTTTCAAAACACAGAGTGACTATTGAGCACTAAGCTTTTTAACTGCCAAATGTTTCTTTTAAACTACACCCAAATGACACCTATCAAATTTGCTGTGTTTTCAAATTTTTCAAACATCATCAGTGATTATTTGTTGAATTTTGGCAAACAGTACATTGGTTGTTGTAAGTCTTATTTATTTAACAGCCCCCGTACTAGTAATGTTTAATACTGCTATCTTTGTATCACTAATATGATTCTCCATCATCGAAAACAATGTTCACCTAGCCCTTTGGGCTCGATAAATCTTTTACTCCTTTAGATTCTTAATTATCGCATTGACCTTAAAAAATAGCAATAATTTTACGATATAATGAGATTAACATATCATTTTGTTTTCTATTTAGCTCAGGTAAGCACTTTGGCCGATAGATCTCCTTATTTAATTTTTTTTGCCCCCCTAAAAATTATAATTTTAATCCACAAGGGGGTCATTATTCTACGGAGGTCATTTTTCTGCACGTAGGGTATGCAAATTTTTAGGGTAATGACACTTTTTCTACGGGCAAAAGGGTTTTTTTCGACGTCGAATAATGACCGAAAATCATTTCTTGCCTTTGAAAAATTGAAAAAATTATTCTATGGGGGTCATTTTTCGTCTTTACACCGGTCTGTCAGGTGTACCCTTGTGAAGAATGTTTTCGAAGAAGGGTGGTGCCATGGTAGTTAAGGATTGAAATTTCTGTGAAATACTTTCAAAATGCTACTCCTACTACAGTTGTAGTCTGAATTCAATTATAAAAATTGGCACACAAATAGACTACACTGAGGTACACAATTCTATGAATCAGTTTTTGATTCTAAAAATAGAAATTTCTGTGAAATGCTTTCAAAATGCTAGTCCTCCTACAGTTATGGGCTGAATTCAAGATAACTTGGCACACAATTAGACTACACTAATAACAATTCTATTTATCGGTTTTTGTTTTCGATTAACGGTGTTGCTGTGGTTACTAAAAATAGAAATTTTTTAAAAATACTTAAAAAATGCTACTACAAATACAGTTTTTAAGTGATTATTGTATAATGTGCCATGCAAGTAATCTACTCTGAGACATATAATTGTATTTATTGTTTGTTTGTTTGTTTGTTTATTTTTGATTCCTCGATCATCATAACTATGCACTTATTTCATCGGCATAATATCCATGCAGGTGTAAGATTTTCAAAGAATGCATTTTCACTATATAATAATTAGAGCAGATTAACAAGAGAACCCTGGCCTTGACCCAGATGCCTTAAAATTCACAATTCTGGAATAAAAACTCTCTCTACCCTCAACATAAATATGAACTTAGTTATCGGCTTAATGCCCAGGAGCAGCGGAGAATATTTTTGAAAAAAATATTACTATTTCACTAAATAGTCATGAGTCCCAACCTAGTTCCAGAATTCATGACTCCATTGGCCATGAATTTCGTAATTGTTGTAGAGAGCTCAATGCCTATTATAATCATGTCAATCATTGCTTGATATCCAGGGGGAAAAGGAGGTTTTTAAAGATTGATTTAATTTTTATTTGTTTTATTCCTATCCCTCAGGCCCAAGGGGGGAGGCAAGTGCCATGAATTTCACTGTTTTACTCCCCTTTACCCATTGATGCTATGTGCTAAAAAAGATGGCGAAACAAGGCGTGCAGAATGCATACAGCGTCAGATATTAAGAAATTAAATTCATTTTGTGAATTAAGTATTCAAATGAAGTTCAAATTATTGAAATTTATGAAATTCATCAGAAACAAAACTTTTCCGATAAAAAAATCTCAAAAAAATATTCTTTTATTAAAATATGATAGCATTCAAGGGATTTAATAATTGAAGTATTGAAAGAACTAAAGACCGGGCTTTAATTACTTGAGTATATTGTTTGATGATCATTAGTACATTTTTTTTCCTTTTGGCCATTGACTTTTAACAGGTAGAGTTTGAATGATAATGATTAAAAACAATATCCCATATGCTAGTAATTAAAACTAACAGTCCATACCCCATGATATGTAATGATTTTAAAATTTAATAAATAAATAACATTTCCAAGAAATTTTTGCATATTTTCTATTCAATTATCATTTTTTTCTCATAATTTATAATTCAGTCTTGGCGTAGTTAAAATAATTCACATACAATTATATGTATTTTACAGACATTCTTTTAGTTTCAAACAGGCAGTACTTTTATAGTTTTATAGTATACCAGAAATTAACTGCATGGACCGGTCTTGTTATAAACACGCAAAAAATAATTAAGACTGTTATTCATTCGATAATATTTTTATGTCAGGGTCTAACACATGAAAATTATATCAAATTTGTCACTTTAGTTAAACTTTGGGGACAGCTAAATCCTAGAAATGTCATAGATATTATATTCTTCCTAAATGTACATACAGTTTACAAAAAATTGTTCCAAAAATCTTTTGAGCAAAAAACTTGTAAACCACATGTTTTATTTATTTTCTCATGGATTTGTAAAGGGTGTTAAGAAAGTTCGTTCCATGATGAAATAGTTTCAAAAAATTCAAGGTACTACTTTGATAAAGAGATCAATTTTTGTATTCGAAAGGATTCTTTGACCTGTGTGCTTAATATATGACACAAACATGCGTCATCCCTATATTTTTGTACAGAAATCAATTTGTTTTAATCCCCCCCCCCATTGAATCAACAAAAGACAGTTAAAACCATACCAGTAGCAAGAATTGATCTGTAAATATGAAATATCACAAATTTTAAACATCTTCTCATCGTATTTCTTTTCGAAAATAAAAGAAATATGTGGAATTAACTTTCTTAACACCCTTTATAAATGCTGTTATCTGATTGGCCAGATGGACTAGCACCCTGTTTATTCTGTGTATTTATAGCAATTCACGACTATCGCTCTTGATTTCCTTATTCGAAAATCGTCCAGACTTGTTCAAATAGCGATGTATTACCTTACACAGTTCAAATCTATGTATCCTAAGATAAATGAGTTATATCACCATTCATAATTTTAAAACACATGTAATCTCAAGTGCTGTTGATATATTACCTGCAGGTATGTTGGTGTTAGGTGCACATATTTCTAAACTTTCATTCCTATCTGCATTTAATAAACAGTGGTACTCCAAGCGTCTTCCATGGTTGCATGTTGCATTAGTAAGTGATGGACACTGTTTTTTATTTTTTCGCTTTCCCCACTGTGTTTCATTTTTAGGACAGTCATCAACCACCGTAACAGTTTTTCTTGATTCAGGACAGGGTCTAGACATGCTCACTTATATATTTTTTTACTGCAAAGATATACAAGTACATGTATGTTCTATTATGGAATCCAAATATGGCCATACAGTTCACCAATGGACCATAGAGCATCGACTAAAAGGTCGATGATGCAATAATGCAATGGTGCGATAACGATGAAGCGATGGTGCGATACCGCGATGACGATGATGCAATGCATGGCGCGATAATGCGTTGGCGATGTTGCGATAGCGAATATCGCACCATCGTCATCGCACTATCGGGTCATCACTATCACACCACTGCATAATAGCAGTATCGCTTCATCGTACTAACGCATCATCGTCATTGCATTTTCATACATGTACTTGTATATCTTTGCAGTAAAAAAAATATGGATAAAAAGAATATATAATTTCATGTATGGCATTCTTTAGTACTGAAATATTGATGACAATATATCTTTCAAACAATACCATCAATTGTTAAATGCTTATTTAAAATTTTTAAACGTCTAACAAGTAGTTAAAAAATTTTAAACGTCTAACAAGTAGTTAATATCCAGTAGTATAATATTAATATATTAAAAAACAAGAGGCCCACGGGCCTAATAGGACACTGAAGTATCATTTAACAACTTTCCAACAATTGAATTTGGTTCGTGTTTTAAACCACAGGCCATGAAATGCACAATTTCGAAAGAGGCACCATTACTCATAACTACTGTATAGACTTAGCATGCTTACTCTGGTTACTTAATACCGAGAGGTAGATCAGAGTAACAAATAAAATTCCAATTTATAACCAGTTGTGCACTACATTCCAATGGAACCACTGGCTTAGGGCTATATATTTCAATTTTTTGGAATTTTTATGATAAATTTTATTTCATCATAAATGGTTGATTAATACCAAAGAGCAGATTGCAGTGACTCAGGAGCAAAAGAAAAGATTTTCAAAGAATTCATGCATTTTCGCAACATAATCATTAGAGCCCCACCTTAACACCAAAAACACCTCACCCAGGGGTCCTGAAATTCACAAATTTGGAAGAGGCATCCTTTTTTAATCATAACTATGTACACAGTTTTTAGCTCACCTGAGTCGAAGGCTCAAGTGAGCTTTTCTAATCAAAATTTGTCAGTCGTCTGTCGTCGTTGTTGTTGGCGTCGTCGTTGTCGTTGTAAATTTTTTTACATTTTCATCTTCTTCTCAAGAACAACTGGGCAAATTTCAACCAAACTTGCCACAAAGTATCCTTAAGTAAAGGGGATTCAAGTTTGTTCAAATGAAGGACAACGCCCTTATTCAAGGGGAGACAATTCATAAATGGTGAAAATTTTGTAGTATGTTTTAAAAATCGTCTTCTCAAGAACCACTGTGCTAGATAGGAAACTTGACACTTATAGGGAAGCAACTTCAGGTAGTGTAGATTTAAGTTTGTTCACATCATGACCCCCTTGGATAAGGAAAGGACCACAATGGCCGATCAAATTTTTACAAAGAAATATATAGGGAAATTCTTTAAAAAATTTTCTTCTCAAGAATAGCAAAAGCATGGATTATCATATTTATATGGAAGCATCCTACAGAAGTGTAGATTCAAATTTGTTCAAATCATGACCCCCGGGGTCAGGGCGGGGCTTCAATGGCCGATCATGGTTTAAAAAGAAATATGTATGGGAAATTCTTTAAAAATCATTTTAAGAACTCAAGAAGTAGGGGCGGGGCCACTACATAGAATCCAAGTTTTACTTAGAAATTTGTAGAACAATTCTTTAAACATCTTCTTTTCAAGAATGGCAAAGCCATGATTAGTCGTATTTATATGGAAGCATTCTCGGGTAATGAAGTTTCAAGTTTATTCAAGCAATAAAAAAGTTCTCATATGTAAAGGGCAATAAAGCCCCAGGAAGTCAAAGAATATGCAAGCATCCTTAGTTAGTTTGTTCAATTCTATCCAATCATACCCTCTCCCCATTAAGGATTGGTTGAGACAACTTTGTTTAAACTTTTTCAATAATAAACTGATGTCTGCTTTTTTACAAGCATTGCTCAGGTAAGCGATGTGGCCCATGGGCCTCTTGTTTGGTTTAATAGCCAAGAGCAGAAAAGATTTTCAAAGAATTTATGCATTTTCACTAAAAATTCAATAAATACGAACCATTACACCAACATTCCTAACCTTGGGGCCATGAAATTTACATTTTAGAAGAGGCAGCGGTATATATTCAACATTATTACGTATAAGTCTATTTTGTACCCAGGTGCGGAGAAGATTTTTTAAAGAATTACTCTATTTTCACTATAATTCATAATCAAAAGTACCCCGCCCTCATACCAAAGTTCAATACCCTAAGGCCATGAAATTCACAATTTTGGAAGAGACATTCTCGCTCATTATAACTATGTACTTGGTTAGTTTGTTTAATACCAAAGAGCAGAGAAGATTTTTAAAGGATTTATGTATTTTTGCCATATTATCAATAGAGCCCCGTCCTACCACATGAACCCCCGGTCCTGGGGTCATGAAATCCACAATTTTGGAAGAGGCAGCCTTTTTTACATAACTATGTACTTGGTTAGTTTATTTATTGCCTAGGAGCAGCAAAGATTTTCAAAGAAATAAATGCAATTTCACTATAAAATCTATTTAGCGACGCCCTATCTCTAAAACCCAAGAGCCTGGGGCCATGAATTTCACAATTTTGGTAGAGGATCCAATACTTATTACATTCATGCAAACAGTTTGAGTGCTTGTTTTCCTGGAGTAAAAATGAAAATTTTTAAAGATTGTATTAATTTTAGTGGTTTTGGCCCAACCCCTCAGGCCCCGGGGATGGGGGGGGGGGCAGGGACCATAAAATTCACAAGTTTTGTTCCCCTTCACCCATAGATACTTTATGTAAAAATTGGTTGAAATTAATTGAGCGGTTGCAGAAATCGAAGAAGCTGAAAATGTTCAACTGTTAACGCACGATGCAAAACGCACGGTGACGGACGAAAACAGAAAGCAAATGAGCCCGCGTACCTATCAATTTTACCGAAATTTAATGTAAATAAAAAAACATAATAGTTACCTATATAATAATTGTTCAATCACGACATTTTTTCTTTCTTTTGGTTAAATGGACTCGCCCGTGATGTCACGTAATGGCATCGCTGACAACTGTTGCACTCCTTATTTTATTATTATAAGTATAACGTTCTTTAAATTTCTGAAAATTTCGGTAAAATTCATAGGTACGGGAACTCATGTGCAGATAGCAATAGGTCAGCTGTATGGAATCTGGATAGTATGGAATCCGGATTGGGCCATGCAGTTCACTATCGCACCATCGACCATCGACATAGAGGTCGATGGCGTGATAATGCGACGGCGCAATAACGACGAAGCGATTGTGTGATAACGATGAAGAGATGGTGCGATAGCGCTATAATGCAATGACGACAGTGCAATAGTTCGACGGAGGGAAAGTGAATATCGCTTCCTTGAGTCATCGCATCATCGTCATCGCATTATCGCCATATCATCGCTATCAATGACGATTGTGACAATGCACAATCGTCATCGCATTGTCGCACCAACGTATTATCGTCATCAGACCATCACCTCCTTGTTATTGCACCATCGGCGTCATCGCACTATCGACCTTAACCTCGATGGTGCGTCGATGCAATATTGAAATAAATGGCCCTATCCTATGGAATCCGGATAGGGCCACGCAGTTCACTATCGCATCATCGCACCATCGAGGTTTGAGTCGATGTTGCGATGACGCGATAATGCGATGACGATGAAGCGATGGTGCGATAACGATGAAGCGATGGTGCGATAGTGCGATGACGATGATGCGATGGCGCGATAGAGCGATGACGATGATGCGATGGTACGATGAAGCGATAATGCGATGACGCGATGGCACGATAGCGATGGTGCGATGGTGCGATAGCAATGATAGGATCGCTATCGCACCATCGCAGCATCGCTATCGCGCCATCGCATCATCGTCATCGCACTATCGCACCATCGCTTCATCGTTATCGCACCATCGCTTCATCGTCATCGCATTATCGCGTCATCGCACCATCGACTCAAACCTCGATGGTGCGATGATGCGATAGTGAACTGCGTGGCCCTATCCGGATTCCATACTATCCTATGGAATCCGGATAGTGCCATGCTATGGAATCCGGAAAGGACCATGCAGTTCACTATCGCATCATCGCACCATCAAGGCTTGGGTTGATAATGCGATGACACGATAATGCGATGACGATGAAGCAATGGTGCGATAACGATGAAGTTATGTTACGATAGTGCGATACCGATGAAGCAATGGCGCGATAATGCGATGGCGATGGTGCGATAGCACGATAAATCGATGGTGCGATAACACAATAGTGCGATAGTGATGGCACGATGATGCAATGACGATGGCGCGATGGTACGATGACTATGAAGCAATATTCACTTTTACTCTATCGTTCTATTGCATCATCGTCATCGCATTATCGCTTGATCGCATTATCGTCATCGCGCTATCGCACCATAGTTCTATCGTTCTATCGACATTGCATCATCGCTTCATCGTTTTCGCACCATTGCATTATCGCTTATTAGTCGTTACTCGATGGTGCGATAGTGAACTGCATGGCCCTATCCGGATTCCATACAATGCAGTTTACTGTCGTACTATCGAGTATTGACTTAAGGGTCGATGGCGCGTTAATGCGATGATGCATTGACGATAAAGCAATGGTGCGATAGCACGATGACGATTGTGCTATGGCCCGACAATTCTATGACGATAGTTCAATAGCACAATGTGGCGATAGTGAATATCGCTTTTTCGTCATTGCACTATCGCGTGATCGTCATGGCATCATCGCTGTTGCACCATATCACGTAATCGCACTATCGTGCAATCGCACCATCGTCATCGCATTGTCGCGCTATCACATCATTGTACATTGTATTCGAGCTTTTGCACAATCGTATGTATGGAATCCGGATAGGGCCATGCAGTTCACTATCGCATCATCGCACCATCGAGGTTGATAATGCTATGACACGATGATGCGATGACGATTAAGCAATGGTGCGATAACAATAAAGCTATGTTGCGACAGTGCGATAACGATGAAGTGATTGGACGATAATGCAATGGCGATGGTGTGATAGCACAATGAAGCGATGGTGCGAGATCACTAGTGATGCCACGATAGTATGGAATCCGGTTAGGGCCACGCGGTTCACTTCGCATCATCGCAACATCGAGGTTTGAGTCGATGGTGCGATGACGCGATAATGCCATGACGATGGAGCGATGACGCGATAACGATGAAGCGATGGTGCAATAGCGCGATGACGATGACGCGATGGCGCGATACTGCGATGACGATGAAGCGATGGTGCAATGGAGCGATAAGGCGATGGCACGATAGCGATGCTGCGATAGTGATTATACGATAATGCGATAACGATGAAGCAATGCTCTATCGTGTCATCATCAGTGCTCTTCTCAAGAAACACTGGGCAGGAAAGATGTAACTTTTTAGAAGCATCCGCTGATAGTGTAGATTTAAGTTTGTTCAAATCATGGCCCCCGAGGGTAGGGTGTTGCCACAATAGACGATTGAAATTTTACATAGTTAAAATCTTTAAAACATCTTCTGAAAAAGCAAAGCCATAATTGGTCATCTGAATAATGATGCATTTAAAGCTTATGGTAGTGTAGAATCAAGTTTGTTCAAAAATCATTACCCCCTGGAGGTGGGGTGGGACATAAATAGGGAACCAAAGTTTTGTATAAAAATATAAAGGAAATATCATTTCATTTTCCATTTCTTTTCTTTTTCCCAAGAACAGCAAAGCCATGATTGATAATACTTATATGGAAGCATCCTCAGTTGGTGTTTATTCAAACTTGTTCACATCATGACCCCTCAGTGGTATAGTTGGGCCATTATGACCGATTAAAGGTTTACATAGGAATTCTTAGTAAAATTCTTTAAAAGTCTTATCTCAAAGAACAACAAAGCCATGATTGATCTTATCTTAATCGAAGCATCCTCATATAGTGTTGATTCTAGTGTTTTCAAGTCATGACCCCGAGGTGTAGGTTGGGCAACAATGTGGGATCAAAGTTTAATATCGGAATAACCCTAATGTAGATTTTCCGCAACTTCCATGGAATTCCAAAGCATATTCCATGGAATTCCATGGAATTTTTTTTCCGCGGAATTCTTTAGAATTCTCCGGAGTATTGGGACGGAACTTTTTTCGGAATGATTTGGAATTTTGAATATAGCCTGGAAAAGAGCGGAACAATGCCAGAATGGAAATTTGTGAAGGAAATCCATGGAATTCCAGGATATTTGTAAATCTAAGGAATTCCATGGAAATCCATGGAATTCCAGGATTCCAAATTCCAAATACATGTACAAAGAAAACTGAAATAATTAGTGCCAAATAATTACAAAAAAAAATTGATAACATCACAATGTTTCATAGATCAAATCTATATTTTCAAAATTAAAAATTAATTGTTTCTTTTACAATGTTTTTTGAGACAAATATTGCATATGATATAACTCTCAGATGTACAATATAAGCACACTTTCATAAAATATTCTCACGGAAAGTATTTTACATTAAAGGTTATTTACAGAGAAAATATGATTACCGGAGAATCAGTCACCTTGGTTAAATTTATGATAATCATGTTATGATATACATGAATTTAGTAAATTCCAGTCTGCATTTTCTAAAATAAGAAGTAAGTTTTAATAAATGAAATTGGCTATGGAATTGGAATAGTCATTGAGACCTCAACAAAGTATACATTTACAATGAACTGCCAGTGGCTTATCATGCTTATGTACTGGTACAAAGTTATTGACTAGAGTGACAAACACATGTATTACATGCAAAAAATATGTACTACACAACTATATTGATACAGTGATCCCATAAAATCAACAGATGATATTTCCCCCCCAACGTACGTGCCAAAGATCCCAATTAATGAAGATCCAAAACTTCTGACGTGTTTGCTAGAGAATCATGCACTTCCTCACTGATATTCTATGAAATTAGTAAATGGTTATGTTAGAAGGTTGACAGTTAATTGGTGTCACGAACGGATTCACTTTCAGTACGAAGGCTCAGAAAGTTCGATGTTGATCATTCCAACAGACACTTCAAACTTTTGATCCTTACACAATTTCTGAAAGAAAAAGATGACCATTAAGATGCATCATTATTGATATCCATATAAATATATGACAAACAATAAACAAAAGCTATACAAAACAATTGATTTTTTTTTACCTGGCAAATCAGTTTACTATGGAATATGAATTAATTCACTATCTTGCAATTTTTTGTTCAAATTAGGATTAATTCTGATGAATGTATAAATGTGAAAAGTTTATAGATGACAGAAAACATCAGGCACTGATCAAAAAACTAACTTAGGCCTTAAAATGGTTCAGGTAAGCTAAAACAAAAAGGTTTGAGCTCAAGCTCAATGCCTGACTAACACTGAAAAAGATAATTTCAATTCATGTGATTTTATTGATTTAGAAAATAATTCAGAAATCTTACCTTTATGTTTTTCTTTTCATACACCTCTTGTCCTTGTGAGCACCCGGATTCCTGTAAAATGCATGTATACTTCATATTAGATGATTGCTATTTGATCTAAAGTAATTAGGCATGTCTGTGCAGTTTTCATGTTTACATTACCTGTCAGAATACATTGTTATTAATTATTTGAATAAGGAATTTAAGCGTGTTAAGAATATAAACCTTTAAATTTTGTTTCCTTGGCAAAGTTGCAATAATTTTTTTAATAGCGAGCGCAGCGAGCGTCGTGTAGCGAGCTCAATATACTATAACGTGTATGAACGGAGGAAATTTGGGTTGAAATCTTCACGTCGTTCCAAGAAATTTTTATCTCATAGCGTGAAAGAATTCCAAACTCCCAATAATCCTTTGCGGTGAAGAGTCAACAGGACTTTTTATTTGACGTCATACTTTCGTCACTTAAACGGCTCAGTTATTTCGGATTTTGTAGGAAACTTCCGAAAATTCAAAATCTCTATCCCAATGCCTGGGAAGTGGGAATTGACTTGTTATTCTGTTCAACTGAGGATAGGCAGTGCAAGTAAAATCTGTATAAAGGATTTTGAAAGTAAATAACTGCGCTCGCCCCAACGGTCGCACCGTAGAACACATTATTATGCTAATAGACATGGATTAATAAAATCAGAGTTAGTTAACTTGGTTTGAGTGATAATTTGAGCTTGTTCTCACCATATTCACAAGCCTAGAGACTGACTGGCTAAGCATCTACATCCATCAAGTTATCAAACGCCAGCGCTGAGGGGATCATCTCGGGCACATTTTTATGCAGCAACAGCTATAAAATAATTAAAATAAGAGCAGAAAATGATCATGAAACATGCCTTAAAATATATATAATTAATTACATTGTACATCATACTCTGTAAATGTTATCTTGACTTGAACAAAGGAACGTATAGGTAAAATTCTTTACATAAGTTCGATCCCAAACGAGGACATTCGGGTTAAAATCCATGATCTTAATGAGATGTTTAGAGTTTTTAAATAATTATTACAAAATTGAAATAGTGCACTAACGATTTCACCGCCAGGCAGTTTATGTGTGACTGTGTGGTGCCCAGACTATAAATGAACAGGTAGCAGAAGCGTTCTTCATTCAAGGACACGGCCGATGATATATACACGACCGTCGTGCACACTATATGGAAAGTCTATTTACACGACCGTCGTGCAAATAGCTATTGCAAAGTAATGAGATATATACACGACCGTCGTGCATAGATATTAAGTAAAATCTATTTACACGACCGTCTTGCATATAGCAATTGCACATTACCCGAGATATGTACACGACCGCATTTATCGTCGTGTACCCTAAATTCGTCCCCAAACTTCTCGAGACCAGCACCTTTCGAACTTCGTATCGAAGACGTCATTATTAATTTTTCAGAATTTGCTGTTTAGTTTTGAACTTAAATAAAATAAAAAAAACTTAAAATATCTGATTTTTCCTTATGTCCATTTTTATTGAAAGAGTACAGTTTACTTACGTTCCCCAAAATTACTTCCAGATCTAAATTACGTGCATGGGCTACAAATTAAAACAATTTATAAATACTGTGCTTCTTATTTTCCCTTTTCTTGTGTGTGTGTTTTGTTTTAATAAGTTTCATTTAATCGAGATTTTTTCAAGAATATGTTATGGAGACAGAAAATAAATAAAATCAAATATATTTTATCAAAAATATTTCCCATACAGAAGAATTCATTATACCACCCCTTTCAATAAAAAACAATCTGTCAACATAAGCAAGCATTGATGATCACATTGTGTGAATAGATCTACTTTTGACCTTGCAAAGTCGCCAGTCCTCCTCCCCCCCCCCCTTTTTGCGTGCAAAAGAGTCGGTAAGTAGCCAAGTAATCAAGAAGAAAATGTATTATTTCTACAAACCAAGAATTTATTTTATTGAACAGTCCGAACAGTCATTTTATTGAGCCGACCAAAGAAGGTGAATTTTTGTCACAATTTTTACCAGTTTGACAGGTGCTGTGTGCTGACGTGGTGCAATTTTATGGGTGCATTGCAGCATAACTAATCCAGCGGGCGTCTACTGGGTCAAAATTCACTATATAATCAAGTAAAACAAAATCTATTCTGCAAATTCTTTTATTTCTCATTTTCTGCAGATCTATATAGTATATGAAAAGTCTTTTTTCCCTGTAATCATGGTAATGTGGGTATTTCACACATTATTATAATAATTATGTGATCTTAAATTATAATAGTTTTCCTATGCTTTTTTTTTTTCAGATTGTGCCTGACTTGCACTGCTCAAATATTTTGATATTCTATCAGTTTTTGCCATTAAGGTCAATGTATTTTGGAAAATCTAAAATAAAACATTGTATAATGTCACATACCAGGTAATATTGGTGAGCATACAATAACATGACATCGTTGAAAGCACGTTCCTGTTTTTTTTTTTTTTTTTTTAATTTCGTTTAAGAAAACGGAGTTGGTATAACCGAGGGCAATTTATGTTCTTTATATGATGAACAGAGGAAACTTTCCACTTCCTTTACGGTTCTCACAAAAAATCACCTTCTACTAATCAAAATTAAGTAAACGTATAAAATAGTTATCCACGTGCAGATATAATAACGTTTATTTAGCGTCTGATTCATGCAGTTTTGTAATTAAGGTGCTATACTATAATTTGGAGATTCTGCTTGTGAAGTCAAATTTTAAGAGAATTATTAATAAAATTTTGTTTGTTTGTTTGTTTTTGGAAGTAACATATCATAAAAACAGGTTTTACAATTATTTTTTGAAAATTAAATTTTAGTGCCCTTTGAAAATATATTGATTTCATTTTTTTTATACAATAATATAAAGAGAGATTCTCGATTTTATTTCTTAATATAGAGATCTAGAGAAATTTTCATTTTATTTAGATTGTGCATCATTTGTTCTCAATATTTCCCCAATTATACAAGATATCAGCACCACTGGCACTAGCTGAGATGTTTGAATTAAATCAGTGCGTCAGGTCATTTGTTCGTGTTGTTTATTCCACAGAATCCATATCCTTAATTGGTTGAAACAAATGGTTTAATTAATACAACAAAGTTCAAAAGTCAATTTTCTGTCAACAAGTGACAATTACTACATACATCGGATACATGTAACCAAGTAATTGGTCGTACATGCGAACCGTCTTAATTGGGACGAAACACCTCAGTGCGAATGGTCTGTGGGGACGAACCGTCTCGCACTCAAACAAGGAAAGATAAATACAATGCATGTTTAATGTTTTACACGACGGTCGTGGAAATAGTCATTGAAATTATATACACGACGGTCGTGCGAATAGTCATTGAAATTATATACACGACGGTCGTGCGAATAGTCTTTGAACTTATATACACGACGGTCGTGCGAATAGTCTTTGAAATTATATACACGACGGTCGTGTATATAGACACTGCCCAAGGACACATAAAATACTGTACAATATTGTACCTACCGGGTCTTAAAATGTCTTCAGCTTCTTCCATCTACAGCTTATCAAGATTCCCCTGTTCTAGACACTCTCTTTCCAACTTTCCTTCTGTGCAACATCAACATGGCATTCGATTCGATATTTTTGAATTTCGGCTTGTTGTTTAAATTAATTGTTCATCGAGCCCGACTTCGATCCCGATGTTATTGTACTATTGGTCGACAGTTAAAAAATTCTAAGTAATTTTCCACAGTTTTCCAGAGCAGAAAATGGCTAAGTTTCTCATTTCATCATTTTTTCCAAAGAATTCCACTACTTTCCAAAGCAAAAAATGTCTAAGTCCATTTATTTTTTCAAATTCCAAAATATTCCAAAAACTTCCAGACACACTTTTCGACTTTGGTATGGAAACGAATGGAATTCCATGGAATTCCAAAACTTTTCCAAACCCTTTGGAAAATCTACATTAGGGATTATAGGAAAAAATCTTTTTCTCAAGAACAGATCTAGAAAAACCATAATTATGAGTCATATTGGTGCATATGGAGGCAACCTCAGGTAGTACAAAATCGAATTGGTTCCAATGAGGACTCCCGGGGGTAGAACTGGGCCATAATGGGGTTAATTTTTTGCAAATGAATACAAGTAATAAATAGGAAAATATCTTCTACGATTCTGTTTGAAACACCTATACCACCTTTGTGTATTTTTTGTGATAAATTCATTCAGGTTGACAACGAAATAATTGTGCTTTTTTAGTTTAAAATTGGAGAAAAACACTCATAAAATACAGCATTCGATCACACAAAAATGATTTTAACAATGAAATTGCAGAATCTACATTTTTTCCAGAAACTACAATACTTGTTGAAAATACTTATAAACTAAACCTCGAATTTTAACTTGGTTAAAACTTACCCTTGCACTAGTGAAATTTGTAGGTGACATCATACTGCAAGTATATCACGTGTCTGTTGCATCAAGTGACAAATCTAAATGTAAAATCTAGTCGTCCTCATATGTAGTTGTTAAACATAATTACAATTTTCCGAGATAAATAATGTTCTAAAAATAATCACCATCCTGATTATAAAAACATTCTTAATCACAATTTTTTTTCTCGATATTTCCATGGCGCGCCTTAACAGTTCTGCGTTATAAATATATGCCGGCTGAGCATGAATACATGTACACCATACGAGAAAGTTTTTTTTTTATCTTGTATGATGTTTTAGGTTTATTTTACAGGAAATTACAAACAAGAGACCCATGAGTCACATCTCTCACCTGAGTAACTTTGGTGATGTAGTTTTTTTTTTTACCAGAATTCCCCTCTTCTTATATCTATTGTGGCCCCCTACCTCCCCCTCACCACTACCACCGCCGTCTTGATTTTAAGAAATTAGAATCTACATCACCCGAGGATGCTTCCACCTAAATTTCAGCTGTCCTGGCCCACAGGTTCTTGAGAAGATTTTTCCTATATATTTCTATGCAAAACTCGGGATTTTTTATTGAGGCCTCGACCTACCCCGGGGGTCAGGATGTTTACAATTTAGAAACTACCCCAGGATGCTTCCACGTTAGTTTCAGTTATCCTAGCCCACTGGTTCTTGAGAAGAAGATTTTTAAAGATTTTTCCTATATATTTCTATGTTAAAATTGGATTCCCTATTGTGGCCCTGCACTAAGCACGGGGGTCATGATTTTAACAATTTAGAATTTACACTATCCTAGGATGCTTCCACATAATTTTAAGCTTTCCTGGCCCACTGGTACTTGAGAAAAAGATTTCTAAAGATTTTAACTATATATTTCTATGCATAACGTGAATTCCCTTTTGTGGCTCTGCCCTACGCCCGGGGGTCATAATTTTAACAATTTAGAATCGAGACTACCCAAGAATGCTTCCACATTAGTTTCAAGTATCCTGGCCCACTGGTTCTTGAGAAGAAGATTTTTAAAGATTTTTCCTATATATTTCTATGTTAAAATTGGATTCCCTATTGTGGCCCTGCCCTACCCCCGGGGGTCATGATTTTAACAATTTAGAATGTACACTATCCTAGGATGCTTCCACATAATTTTAAGCTTTCCTGGCCCACTGGTACTTGAGAAAAAGATTTCTAAAGATTTTTACTATATATTTCTATGTATAACGTGAATTCCCTATTGTGGCTCCGCCCTACGCCCGGGGGTCATAATTTTAATAATTTAGAATCGACAGTACCCAAGGATGCTTCCACGTGAGTTTCAGTTTTCCTGTCCCACTGGTTCTTGAGAAGAAGATTTTTAAAGATTTTTACTATATATTTCTGTTAAAAATTGGATTCTCCATTGTGGCCCTGCACTACCCCCGGGGGTCATGATTTTAACAATTTAGAATCTACACTATACTAGGATGCTTCCACATAATTTAAGCTTTCCTGGCCCACTGGTTCTTGAGAAAAAGATTTCTAAAGATTTTTACTATATATTTCTATGTATAACGTGAATTCCCTATTGTTGCTCCGCCCTATGCCCTGGGGTCATACTTTTAATAGTTTAGAATCGACACTACCCAAGGATGCTTCCACATACGTTTCAGTTATCCTGTCCCACTGGTTCTTGAGAAGAAGATTTTTAATGACCCCACCCTATTTTGTCTTTTCTTGATTATCTCCCCTTGTGAGGGGACTTGGCTCTTTCGTTTAACAATTTAAACTCCTAAACACCGAAGAATGCTTTGTACCAAGTTCGGTTACAATTGGCCAAGTGGTTCTTGAAAAGAAGTTGAAAATGTAAAAAAAATTTACAGACGTCTGAGACGGACAGACAGACGGACGGACGGACTACAGATAAAATGTGATCGGAAAAGCTCACTTGAGCCTTCGGCTCAGGTGAGCTAAAAATAGGTAAACAGTTAGCAAGAACATGTCTAGCAGAGGAAGTGTTTATCATGATGAAAAGACTATAAGGCAATGTATAACGGTTTTCGATTGGTGGTGTAAGACCTTTTAACATTCAAACAAACAAAATAATGACAAAAAAAAATGGGAATGCTAAACATCGAGTTTTATGATCTAATTGAAATTACAAATATACTTTTATAAATGACTGACAACAAAGGAAATTTGAAAAAAAATCAAGAAAAAACTATCATACGTACGATTACATGGTCGTTCAACTTTTTGTTCACAGTGAGGTCATGGAAATTTCCAGTACATCCGGGCTGTATGAAATGACACGTGACAGTTTTGATAAAGACTGCCATGGAAAGACGTTAGATGGAAATTGTTTTCTTCAGAGCAGGTAGGCTTATTCTTTACTAATCTTGTTTCTCGTGAAGTCAAATTTATTACATATCTTTAATTTAAATAGTTATATATTCTTTAGAATATTATGTAAATGGCCTTTTGTCATTTCGTTGTTGACCTAGAATTTCAGTCGTAAACATAAGTGATAGTTTCCTGTTTAATATTATGTTTACACACTTGAAAGGAAAGGAAAACACTTTTTTGCACAAATTAAGTGGTTTTGTTTTGACTACAATTTATACCGTATTTTGTCATCCAACAACTGTGCGTTGTGGATCTAAAAATGCTTGCAAAATATTTGGCGATAATGAATGGCATCAAAACAGAAACTTCTTTGAAGTATTTTAAATCATGGATCATTATCAAGACATTTTAACCATTACAAAGATGACAAAAATACCCATGTAAAAAGTGTAGACTTTGTGGATAAGATTTTGTAGATGATAACCCCGGGCAACGGTCCAGACATGGAAAAAGAGGACCTTGAAACTTTGTCTATATATATTACAGTTTCATCAAAGGTCAACATGTCCAGAAATTAATTTTAATAATAGCTACAAAACTATGTGGTTAATAAAGTTGAAACTTGTACAGTGTATAAATATGTCATTGCTTAACAGATAAAAAGTACCATTTTAAATTAAATACTAAATAAAATTATTTCTCGAGACAAATTCTGTATAAAAATGCCTATATTTTTTTTTATTAATCCACCTAGGTTCTTATTTATTCCGTACCCTTAGTGAAATCCATCATTACAGAAAAAGTATATGTTTATCATTAAAGTGCAAGTTGGACTTCGATATTCTCTGGAGGGTTGTGTTCCTTGTTTATTTTGTCTAAATTTTAAATCTTGAAACCGAAAGTACATTGCAAATGGCGGATTTTATAGGCCGCGCCCGTACCAAAATAAAATACAGATTAGGCATACCTATCTTTGGTAAAAATAGGCACAAAAATATGCTTAAAGTATGCAAGTTTGGAACCACTTGTACAAGTATAGATAGCAAATTGGTTTTTAATAAGGATACCTAAAGTATACCTAATAATGGACACACTTTAGGTATCATAAATGCACAATATTAGCACAAAATGGGATAGGTACCTTCTAGACATGCCTAAAATGTGCCTATAATATACCTACAAGATACCAACAACACAACTTCAAAGGTATACCTAAAGTATGCCTATAGTTTATGTACCAAAAAAAGAGAATATTGGCACATGATCAGAAAGATACCTTCTAGGCATACCTAAAATGTGCTTATAAATCTACCTAAAAGATACCTTCAAGACTTACTTATAGTATGCCTACAGTTTAGGTACGAAAAAAGTCCAATATTGGCACACAATGCAAACATTCAGATAAGTACCTTATTGGTATACCTAAAATGTACCTATAAGTCTACCTAAAGTATGCCTACATTTATATCATATTGGTACTTAAAAAGAGTGTGCCAAAAGTATACTTCAGGTATGCCTATAATGTACCTATCAAATAGGCACATTTGAGGCAGGTCTATATAAAGGAGAAATTTAACAATAGTAATTATCAGGTACAAATACAAATTTATTGCATGATGCTACATGAAAATATATGAAAAATACTTTAAAAATCCTCTCTATAAACAGAATCTATATATAACAAATCCTCTATATTAAAAAAGAAAATAGATTAATATTCTTAATTTTAACAAAATAATGATATTTGATATATTCTTTGCAAAAAAAAAAAAAGAAAAAAAGAAACACACCTTTTCAGGCATAAACAATACATAATTAAAGTAATTTAAATACACAAAGTCATTGTAAAGGTACCGAAAGTATACTCCATTTCTTTTTTTTTAATGTTCCTACCCATCACAGAATTTTCTGCTCAGTAATACACCTTGCTGTACAATTGCGATTTCTATCCGGACTTCTTAAAAACACCGATCCTCCATTTGAATGTACTACGCAATTTCTTCTTTCTTCTTTCATGCCATTTCCTTCAATTCTGAAAAAGGTTGTTGCTCCACATGTACTGACGGAGTTACATTTGATGCTGAACTATTTTCAAAAATATTAGATAGATGAAAACCATGCCTTGATCTATAGGGAAGGGGTCTGGGGGTTCGGAACCCCCCCCCCCCTTTCCTATTTGCATTATTGTGTTATTAAATGTATATATATATATATACTAATTCAATTAATTGTGATTTCGACCACCCCCTGCAAAATCTGGATTCACACCTGAAATTTACATTTGATGCTGATTTCCCTCAAGTTTAGAATTACTACAGGGGACAAGATTTTTGCTGGAAAAAAGGTTTGTTCATGAAAGTATGTGACATTATTATTGACAAACAATCATTCATATACATACTAAATATTTTAAAATCATAATTGAAACATTGTCACTATGAATTAAATTATGTGGGTCATACCCCCCCCCCCTTTCCCTAGCATTAATCAAGTGGAGGGCTTGGGGTTGGGATGATTTTTTGTAAACTTATTACATAAATTCAAATCAATTAATTATATTTTTTATGTTGAATAAATACTGTAATTTTGATACTTAAACATGTTAAAAATTATTGGACCCCCCTCCCCATTTTTTTTTTAAATAGAGATGTTAACTTTATATTTCAAACTTTATATACATGTACCAATGATTTAATTTCACCCTGTTCATTTGAATTTCTGTTTGTTGTTATCGCCATGATCATGCAGAGGCTACTGTACATAACCTGTTCCCAGAATAAAATGAATGTATATTGTTTAACGTCCCTCTCGAGAATTTTTCACTCATAATTATGGAGACGTCAAATTTTGACCTTTACTCGGCACTCAGGGTCATTGAGCAGTGAGGGATCTTTATCGTGCCAACGCCTGCCGCTGACACGGGGCCTCGGTTTTTAAGGTCTCATCGGAAGGACCCGCAACTTTCACTTCAAAGTGCCGAGCGCATGGAGAAGGAACCTGTTCCCAGATATTGATACACTAATCGTACTATTTATAAGAAAAAGACTCTGAAATTGTGAAACACTTTTTAATGTCTTCTTACACATGTTACAAAATGATTATATTTAAATGTCTTTACTTAATGTGTAGGCTGTAGCACTGGCTGCACGGCCATCTTGAAGCAAAACAATCCAGAAATCTCTGATACGAATACTTAGAATTTCGTAAAATCTACTCTTTATATTCAAATTCTAATGCATTCTTTAAGTGTACAAATACATCAACAACAAGCAGCATAAAAATTTACACTGAAATAAAGACTCACCGACCAATAATTCTCTGATTTCTTTTTGAGATTTTCATCTCGGCAAATTTTGAAATCACCTCTGAAATGTCCGCCTTATCCACTGACCATTTGTAGACTTCGCTGGAGTCTTTTCTTTCTTTAAAGTTTATTAAATTATTCATAAAATAGTTCGTTTAAACAATAAATAATTATAAAAGTGAACATTTAACAACTATTTAATGGCGCCCCAACTTTAATTAAATGCCGATTGCGATGATATGCTTGAAATTTAGTGTGGCTATTTGGGCAAATAATTGAACCGCCATCTTGAACGCCATTTTGTGTATGTTTACATAACTAATCACTGTCAAATTGATTTTTTTTTTCAAATTATTTAGAACAATTTCCTTACGTGTTAGATATCAACTAAAATCTCAATTAAAGTAACTGACACCTTACACACTTCCATACATCGGAATACAGGTATACATGGACCATGTAAATTATGCCATGTATACAATCCATGTATGCGTAGTATGTGAATAATTATAAATGATAAGCACATGTATTTTGCGCATCTTTGGGGCTATTATTATACCCCCACTTGAAAAGCGGGAGGGTATATAGTAATCGGTATTACCGTTCGTCCGTCTGTTTGTTCGTCCGTCTGTCTGTTACTCTTTGGGGTACCCATCTCTTATCTGCAACTCCTCTCATACCACTGAAGGAAATTTAATGAAACTTTCACAGACTTTTTATAACATATTGCCATTGTGCACCTCTTATTTTACTTTTTGATCTGACATATATTTTGGATTTTCCAGAGCAAAACGTGTACATAGCCATTTTTTTCATATGGGAGGCGGGAGTATCATTTAGTGAGCTCATTGCTCATAGTACCTCTCGTTTGTATCAAATTTCTAACTTGATATTTAAATGTTCACAAAATTTGTTACTGCTACTTCTTAACTTCTGGTAATTAATAGTTAAAACATCTGTTTTTATTTCATTCTGTAATTGTTTCTTTTGTATTTTACCCATTACGATTGAGCTGAAAAATTACTGATAATTTACATTACAAAGTTGTATTGATTTTGTTAAAACTATATAGAGGGGATTGCTGAGCCAACCTGGTTTTGAGAAAAAAAAGTATTTAGTTTTTTTTAAAAACGGTTATAACAAGAAGTACTGTTAGCAATGAGCTTAGTAAGTGATACCCCCGCCTCCCATATATATAAATGTCCATATATGTATAAATGGTAGTGTCCATGTTTTGCTATGGGAAACCAAAATATGTGTCGGATCAAAAAGTAAAATAGGGGGTACACAATGACAAATGACACAATGATTGTCCAAATGGGAAAAAAACGGTTCGACGAGTTGTAATGTATTTTTGCTTCAAAATTTGGGAATCATCACAAGCGATAATAACGTTAATTAATCAGACTTACAGAATAAATAATGTAAATAAGAGACATCTTAATAGATAGTTTCAGCGATTTTGGGCGGGTGACTGGTCACTGAATGATCAGCAGAAGACTAAAAGACCGAAAGATAGGAAATCGGACGGAAACGTTCAATGGTGTTTGACGTTAGCAGAAAACGACAGACGTATAGAGTGACATGTGAATTTTTATGTTTGTCTTATGCCACTGTTCAAAAAAATTTGACAGGAAGCTTAATTCTGAAAAGAGCGAGTGTATAATGGTACCAAGAAATCTTAAATGAAGTGGAATTGGTGAAAGTGTTTGCGAATCACAAATATT